CTTCCGAAGTTACAAATTAAAACCTTCTAAATAATGACATATTACAATCTTGTAGTTTTCAATTTCAACATTAAATAAAAAAGGACTTCAATTGCAAAAGCCCTGACAAGGAAAAAAACACTTTGTTTAAAAGTCATTTTTCAAGTATTCAAAGATACAGGTTTATCTAGACTCAAAACAGCTGGTATGCCACCTGTGAGACAAAAAACCTAACTTTTTTTTTCATAGAAGACCCACATTTGAGATAGCATATAGGACAAAATGAGGATTTTCCGTAAGATGCAAGCCTAAGATTCATGATCCAAATGGGTAACACTGTGCATGTACAAAGAGCACAATTAGCTTAGCCTATCTGGCTTCACCACCACTATTACAGGACTCCTGAGGGGTATTAGCTACTTCGGAATTACCATAGGTAGTACAGGAAGGACGCAGTACTGTTCCCATAGGGAATGTATTATTTATCCAAGAACAAAAATAGGCATATCTCATTTCTATTTACTTATTTTTAAACTCAGAGATACAATTCCTACAAGTTTTAGTTTTTATTCTTTAGTCAAACTAGTCTTAGTCTTTTAGTCTAATTATTTATACACTTGTGCAATGGGAGAAAGCACATGAAAAACCACTCATGAGAATTCCCTGCACAGACTTAGAGATGAGGACGCCTCCTCCCACAAGCTTCCTTCCTGCTCTCTTTACAAAACAGTGTCAGAGATCAGATTTCAACCCAAATGTAAATCTTGAAACACAGGAAATACAAAAGAGGTGCACACAGAGCTTGGAAATGGCCAACACTTACTGCCAGATATAGAAGGAAAAAAGAATTGGTAAGGAGCATGACTCAAGTAGTTTAGCCTAGGCTATTGCTGGCAAGCATAGAAGAAAGGGTAGAAGGTCTGCCATAAGAAAGGAAGAAAAAAGTGGAGGTGTAGGACCTGGGTCATACATAACATTCGGTCTACATAGTCATAAAATTCAGATATCATTTAGCATACATCTTCCTGCAGGATGTGTACACATAGAGACAACAGTAAAAGATGCCAAATAATAGTTTGGTTTATAACCTTAATTAGTATTTTGGAAGCCATTATAGTAAGACAGAAGAGCAGCTACACTACAGTGGCGATACCTATATACCGTGAGACAGAAGACAGAAGAAGATATACCTATCTTCCATCACTAAATTAAAACTACTACAAACACTATGTATTCCACAGTCAAACTTTGGAACAAACACACAACAGCCTAGTGAGCAACCCACAAAATCCTCTAAATACTTCAAAGCGTAAAACATAATGCAAATTCCTTTATAACAGCTAGTGCAATAAAGAGAGTATACATTTTGGAAACAGAAAGCCAGTTAGGTTTTAATTAACTATGCTAACCACTACATCAACTACAAACACATAGATTAGTGAAATACAATGGTAAAACCTCTGTTTTATGAACACAAGCTCGTTAAAAGCCAAAATGCTCCTATTCATCAGGTTTCTAAATCTACTCTTGCTAGCCACCCATAACAAGATCACGCTGGAACAATCTTGCTTCAGAGAGTAGGGCGGTGATTCCAGCTAATAAATATATTTTATATAAATGACAAGATTGCAGTGTGACTGCATCTCACTGTTCCCATGTTCAAATCAAGTTTGATTTTCAGAAATTCACTGTCCTTTCTTTTAAAGGGTTCGAGATACTTATCTCTGAGTCTGGAAGGTGATATCTCTCACCACAGGTCTGCAACTAACCCAGTAGAAAATTACTCTGTGTATTCATTTATTTTTCTGCCTGTGTTAGTTTGCAGCCAGGTAAGGCTGATCCAGCTTAGCCTGTGGCTACATAAGTACAAGAGCTGACACTAGGGGAAGAGGAAGAGAATGCATCACCATCCCTGCTGGCAATAGTATACATTTTCATCTGGTTGAATCAACCATGAAACTGCCTACATGAAACATGGTAAGTACTTCAAAAACACAGCTGTAGATGTTCATTCTTGTATCACTAAGTAATGTAGATATTAAATTCATTTCCTCATCCGTATTTTACCTGCTGTAAGTTAAAGAAGCTACTGCAAACTCACAGCTAGGACATTACAATTAATCATGAATACAAAAAACATGGGATAAATCATATTTAAAAAAAAAAAAAAAAGAAATATAGAAGGAGCGAGAGTTATCTGGCTGATAACAAAGGCTTTGGTGCTGACCTTGAGAATGAAATAGCCCTTAAATCTGTCCTTGCAGTATGACCTGTCCTTGGAGAATCGCAAATACACCACCACATATGCTTTCAGGGTAATAAATGTATGACTTTCCTTTGCATGCATTTATGACACAGGGAAGAAATGATATCAACACCAGTAGAAACTAAAATCTTATGCACTAAGCTCTACTCCGAAAGGCATTCTGCATCTCCTGTTAAAAGCAAATGTAGGCCCAACACTTTCTAGTCGAAAATCTGATGCCATCATAATTGTAGCATGAATTACGAAGTCACACGCTCAAGTGACAGTACGTTTACACATTTAAGAGGTATTACACTTATTTTGTACACAGCCCACTACAGTGATTCAGGTAGCCAGGAACCAATACTACAAAATAGTTAAAACTTCAAGTTTTCTTCTTATTTCTCCACTGAGAACATAAACTTGCTTAAACTCAAACCTCTGATCCTACTACACTAGAATACACTCCCACCTTACAGACAAACATAAATCAAGGGAAGAAATCATAACTCCTTTTTACTGCCGAGATGCACAGTCCACTAGATATGGAATGAGAATGTAATATTATACAAAAGCTTCAGGTTCAACTCCACAGAATCTGCTTTCTCCATGGTATGTATCTCCATCTGTTAAACAAACTTCCCCAAGCTTCTACTCCTAATCTACTTGTCTTGTTTACTGTAAATTGAAACTACCCAATAAATAACGATGCCACAACAATTCTGAAGTGCTGAAGTAACACTAATAAAGTACTCCCCATAAAATTACTTGGTGGTGCTAATCATTTAAAATTCCGATTATTTAAACAATATGCCAACCTCAATAAAACTCAGAGCAGACGTACGAGTTACTTAATGGTGAGCTACAAAACAAGTGGCAGTGACTTTAAAACACCAGAGCCAGGACAGGAAGTAGGAGATCAATTTTCTATTTTAATCGCAAAGGAGACTAAATAACATGAAATATCACAACAAAAGGGCAAGTGCCTCTGAGTTGAGGTACAAATCACCAGACAGTTAATTTTAAAGTGATATGGAAGTGTAGATACCAAAAAGGGAGAGGAAGGTGTTAGCTGTCTGACAGTGCCAAACCAAAAAGTATATTTTGTATCTCGCATACAAGTTCAAGCAGATCAATTGGAAATACACTTTGCTCATTGGATGCACTGAAAAAAAAGTTGCTTGCATTCTGCCATCTACATTAAACCACTTTTAAAATCAGCAGCAGAAAAACTGTCTTGATACTTAAGCTCTTACATAATAAGTAAAAACAAAAGGCCAATGTGTGACTCCTGCCTTTCAAAGATTTAATCAGATTTTGAGGGGTCTCTATTCAAGGAGTATTAATGCTTTTCATCTCCCCACTTTAGGAACTTCACAATTTGGGAAGATTTAATCTTTACTATTTTCTTCAATTTGCTACTCATTTTAACTGCTGCCCATTTAACTGATGTTAACGGACATTAAGCAATTCTATGTGCTGAAACATGTATTCTAAGTAATGGAAATTGTCCATCTCCATACAATGAGCTTGATACCCATCCTCAGCGTATAGGATCTAAGCAACCAGTTACAACCCATTATTATTGATGCCTACTACGAAGTTAGTTACTGTCACACTCTATCAGACAGCTGCACAATAGACTGACCCCAAAAGCCCCATTCCAGAGGCGTCTGTCTATGCTGAATGTTTAGTCTGTTGAAATATGAATTGCAAGTATACCTGCTGCTCCTTGGAAGGATACCAAAATATAAAGGCAAAAAAGAAGCTCCAATAATGGAGGGAGAAAAAGGCTGTAGGGGTTTACTACACAGGTCATTTACCCCACAAAACACATGAAAATATAAAGAGCTGAAATAATATTATATAGCCTGGTACAAAGATCATATCATATATGTATATCTCTAACCCTCATCAGAAGAAAGACAGGAAGTGCAGGGATGAGAAAAACACACAGGAAAGCTTAACTGCGCACATGACCTTTTGTCCTGACATCATTTCAGTCAAACTGGTGGTCATTTTCTCCAGCCGACTCAAACATATTCAGCCCAAAACTGGCAAAACATTAAACTCAATCTCTTGACCTGCTTTTTGTTCCATTGGTAACCAAGAAATTCCTTGCACTACTGTTCTTACCACCAAGTTTGCAAGAAGGAACACCTCCGCCCATTAAAAAAATGAGTTTTAAAGGATCTATGCAACATTTTCTTCTGTTTCCTGTTGCAGAAGTGTTAACTACTCGCATTCAAGGGCCTTCTTTACTTTCATTCAGTTTTTTGAGAATAAAGATCATGACAAGGTCAGTGTGCTTTACAAATATTTGAAAATATCGTAACATTCCTTTGGGATGTTTCCATCCTTTGGGATGAAAAGGTACTGTTATTATTGCCATTTTACACCTGGGAAACACACTTCATATGCTGAAATCACATCTGCCATGGATTTCATTTTATGAAGTTAAAAAAAAACAACCCAAAACTTTCATAATACAGAATCTCAAGGCAAATACTCAGAGTAAGTAGCACCAGAAACTTAAAACCACTCTCAGCAGCTCAGACTGCTAACAATTCCAGCTTCTCTTATCCATCCCAAGCTTCCTATACAGCATCTCCCAACATCATCGTGTAGAGAGTCACCTCAGCTGTCTGTCCACCTGCCCTGCACCCCTCCCTCAGCGATGCAACTTTTCATTTCTAGTCCACTGTTGTGCGCCTAGCAAGTGCTAGACTTCTGCTTGAGCTTTTTCTGTTCTTCAGTCATTTCAGATCACACTTTACTTAACTAGCTCTAGTATTTCAGCCTTAGATCATCAACCTCAACAGCTCCATCTAACTAAATTCCAGCTCTCCCTTGCATCCTGGCTTCTTGTCCTCTTTCATGCCTGAACTGTTTACACTTTTAGTTATATTAACCAATTTTCCACCACAAAGCAAAAGCTTATTCTCAAATCCCAGCCTACCACAAGTACAACTGCTGGTTCTGCCACCGGCTGTTGTCCAAACCCTTCTCACTTTTCTGTCTCTCTGCTCTGAAATACATCAACTTCCTCCTTTGCATTACCATGACAGTCAGATATCCAGGCCTACAATTCAGGCAGCCTTCCATCCCTCAGAAGAAAAAGCCCTGTCCAGCCCTGAGCAGAAGCATTGTCCAGTCTGCATACAGTATTAAGTGAATTTACAGACCATACTAAAGCGAGTTTCTACCTGTGTTTCTGACCTGTAATTTTACCTGTGTATTTTGAATGCTTTCAGCTTAACAGAATGTGAGCAGATTTTACTCAGGTAGCGAAATACATGTTCATGACACAGGCTACTCTGCTGAAAAATCTCAAAGTCTTGCTATTGTATTGGGGTATACAAAAACAAGCCAACTGCTGCTGGAATATTCTTTGACACGGATAGGTGACTGATTTTATTATGTCAACAGCAACATAATAAAAGCAAGTTCCATTCAAAATACTAAGAATTAGTGATAACTGAACCCAGTAAATTCTTTAAACTGAAAGGGTGGGGACTGCTTATTAATAAATACTGGGTCAAACTTTAATGAAGAGAGTTATAAGAATATAATCTATAATGGAGGTCTGTACATTATTAAACTGTAAAGAATTTAGGCACAATTCCAGTGGAATTAGTCTTGGATTTCATGAAGTGTCACTCCTGGGGAAAAAAAAATGCAGCTAATATAGCTCAGCAGATAATACATGTCATTTAGTATTGGACTTCCCCCCCCCCCCCCCGAAAATAGTAGCACATTCGAATTTTCTTCAGAAAAGTTCAAATGTCTGTGGTTGGAAATTTGGATCACAAATGCACCATAAAGTGCTAAGAAAGTGGGATTTTTAACTTCTCAGACACAGACATAATATGAAGTCCGAAGAAAAAAAAAAGTAAACTCACAAACTGATGTTATGGGTAACCTGGTTAATGTCAACTTGACACTTCTGCTTAACTGCACTGAAGAAGAGGGAAAAAAACATTAGATATTTAAAAGTTTTATTTATGTGTGTGTAAGTGTATGTGCACATGTGTGTGTATGTATGCCTACACATATACTAAACTCTATGCAGGAAAGAAGCATAACGGGTATGAATGCATAGATGGTAGCAGTTTTAGCCTGTATGTGGCAAAAGTATTTTGCAGGGAAACCAGAAGTGGACTTGTAGAACTGTTTCTACAGTTCTCTAGCTTGGCCACTCAACAATTGTCATCTCTTGTTTTCTGGAGGAGATAGTTCTGTCAGATATATATAAGCATATAACTAAGTTCAATAACAAATTTTGAGCACAATGTAGTTAAACAAAAACTGTATAGGAAATTAAAGATTTCCTCCTTGGTAGTTCTTGTCACTGCAACCTTAGTCTGCCAACTCTTGTGTACATCAGTGTGAAGTTACATGATATTATTTCTTTTTTAGATGGCCATTTTATTAAAAACTAGAAGGGCATATTCACAGCTGTTCAAAAACTTCATCCAAAGAAGACTATTAGTTAATAGAATAGTAGAAGAATAGTTAACTTCTAATCATATGTCCGGGGTAACAAACTCCACATTTCTTGTTTAGTCAGGCCCATGAGAATACTTTTCAGAACAGAACATAAAAAAATATTTTAAAGCACTTCATACTTACCCAGCACAATGAAGTGCCTCTAACAAGCTGCAGATTGCCAAGATACTTTGCAATGACTAGCTTTGCCATTTATATTTGTAAAAAGCAAAGAAATTAGTATTTTAACATTACTTTTAAAATGTAAAAGTGTATTTACCTGTGATATTTCCCAACATATCTTTAGTGTGGCTAATCAAATCTTCGCTTTCTCCATCTTTGAAGTTGCCTATCTCCCCATAATAAAGAGCAATTCCAAGTTGCATTATACGTATAAACATAGGAAGCTGCTGATCAGAGATTGAAAGTTTCAAACTTTCAACTAATGTGTGAATCTATAAAATAAAAGAGAACAAAAGCAAACAATAACAAAGCTCTGTCATCATTAAAGCCAACTTTTAATTCATATTCATTTTGTATGAGCATTCTGATTTTTAAAAGCAAAAGCTGCAATACAACACAAGGCAAAGAGCTGTAAATAATGACTGTCAAAAGCATACACTCTTCGGGTTGCTACACAAGCAATCTTTAGGTTGAAAAGTCAGATGTAATACATTTTGCATATATATACATAAAAAAATGTGGGTTTTGGGTTTTTTTTACAATTGCTGCTGAACACATTTCTAAAACATAAGTTATATGATACCATCTGATTAAACTTTTATTTTTGCTACAGAATTTCATAAAAATCTCTGCATGCTAAAAGAAAACTCAAATACACTGGTTTTTAATATACACCTTTTCTTTCTTCCCCTTCGAACCATTATTCTTTGGAACATAATAAACAATTATTAATTCACTTAAATATTAATCTATCATTATATATCTAAATGTTTCAATTGAGCACAGCTCTGAATGTCTTCATAAACAGTATTTTCTTTAAAGACTGAAGAAAAAAGAAGGTAAGAGAAAGAAGAAACATTACAAAAGATGAAAAAGTAAGAAAACTATGTACAACATAAAAAAATTAAGAGTTTATCAGGGGGGAGGGAGAAAGGCAAAAGACATCTTTGAACCAGCCGAAATATGCCTTAAAAAGGGGCAGGGACAATAAATGACCACCAACAAAGATAACCAGAAAAGTTTAATACAAATTTAATTAAATTACTACTGCCTCAGCGTATTCTAATATGAGTTTTATTTTAGTCCAGTATCCACTGAAAATTTTAAGTAATAATGTAAAAATAATAATCATCATTTTTACAACAATATCGTTTTAAACTACATGGAAGACTGTGTCAGTATTTCCATTAATGTGTGCTGCCAGAAGCTTGTAATTTGATCATAAACTTTTGCTCTGCAAAACTGGCATATAGGACTTAGCCAGGTACAGATTATGTCTCCAAAATTAACAGAACTATATGTCTAATTTAAAAATCAGGCTTTTTGACATTAAGATTCACTGTCTATATGCAGTAACCATACTGTCACCACAGAACATAAAGACCGTAACTGGTAAACTATAGACAGTCCTATGACGATTCCTTATTATCACTGGAGTTCACAGATATTCCAGAGTTACAAGGCATACTGTTAAGTCTTATTATCATTGAATACGTAACTTTTTTTATATATATATAAAACTGGAAATAAGGACATTTCCCAAATTATTACCAGTTACCCTACACCAAAAAAAAAAAAAAAAAACAAAAAATTTTTTCAAACCACCAGACATTTGTGCACAAGTATCCAGCATTTTGTTACAATTATTGTCTGGATAAAGCCTCATATGGCCACTACCATGTCCACAAATCTCCAAATTTGCGCAATGTAATCAGAGGCATACAGCAGTGCAGCATATACAAGAAAGAGGGGCATTCTCCAAATTGGACATGATTCCTAATTAGCTCCCAACCTTAAGCTCACAACAGCCTAGGACTTCCTAAAAGATCATGAGCAAAACAAATGCAGTATCCTAACTGAAAAGTGACACTTTAACATTATATTCTTGAGAAATATCCATCAAAAGTTATCTCAAAATCAACTATTTTGCAGTGCATACATCTGAAGGTTATTTTTTATTAAAACAGGAAAAGCCTGCTATACAGTCTGTGTCTTAACTTAGAAGAGTTCTCAAATAATTAAATGGGCACTACTAGCATTCCTCGAGAGAGCAGGGATGGAGGGAAGGAGGAAGGGAAGATAAACCTTACATGTATGACTGCTCAGAGCAGAAAAAGAAAAGTAGGAGGGAAAGGTAGTTTAGTCCCTCCACCAACCCAGTGTTTTGCTTCTGCGCTGCAAAAAGTAAACATCACCTCATGTCAGATGCCCACAACTAATACTGCACCCCTGCTCACTAGGAACTGAGCTTGGCTTGCTAATCCACTTCATATGGTTCACTACTTAGTGTTAATACACTGCAGTTTCTTGTTATTTATGAGAGTTTATGCTACATTTGAAAGAACAACGTAAGTAAAAAATCGTTTCCATCTTACTGCAGTCACCTTAAAGAATACAGGTTGGGCTTTTTTTTTATTTTAACAGATTATCTGCAGACTTTTTTTTTTTCTTACAATTATTATGTTTTCTTTTTTAAAACTTTACGAAAAATAGAATATAGAAGAGAGTACTCCTTCCTTCCTTCCACGCTGTTACTGTGCATAGACTAATTGCATCATGCAAACAAAACACAATCAAAAAAATCTCTTTAACAAACCCCACCAGCATTAGCTTTTCACTTTACTTTAAATCTCAAAGTATATTTTGAAAAAAACTCAAGACTTCCCAAGCAAGCTGCAAAGTAAAATATTCTGGATACCTACTTTAATAATAGATGGCATTTTGGAATTGAGGTTATCATAAGTAAAATGCAGACGAGTCCTGAAGGAACATTTGTACAGCAGAGGTTCCTGGTAAAATTCAATTTTACCACTAGCATTTCTCTTATCGAGACATACTGTGCAGTCAGAAAAGTTGATCATCTTTCTCAGGACCAGATCAGTGGCTTTTAAAAGAAGTATATAGGTTAAAAAACATATTGCATAAGAAAAATAAGTTAGGCATACATGTTCTTATCTAGAAGAAAGCACAAGATGGTCATGTGGTCATTATTTAAATCATGAGCTAAGTACTTGCTTATGTGACTAAATAGAATAATTTAACTTGTCACAGACTTTTTCAGCTGAACACTTGAAAGTGAGGACAGACTAGTTACACTCAATTCAAATTTACATCCCTTCACTGTACCTTAGATCTATTTATAAAATAAGAGTACTGCTTCACGTGCAAGCATAAGACAAATAAATATTATTCTCATTATTCTCCAAAAAAGAATCTTGCAGATTCTCCCCCCAAAGTTTTCTTTTGAATCTTTCAAAGCAAACAAAGGCTATTACAGCAATCTTAACATGAAACATACTTTGAAATTTTGTCATATTAGTTTGTATGATTTTAGCCATAACAAAGAAATGGGTCCAGTGGTCAGGAAACCATTACTTCAATTCCCCATTCTAACAGATATTTTCTGTGTGATCTTAGAGTACTCTTACTATGCCCAAATTTCACCTCTACAAATGTCAGTAAGAGCACCTGGACTTCGATGTAAACATTGGTACTTCAAAGATTGAGACATTCAGATAATGAAGACCAAGACAAAAATCAAAAAAGTTGCCATTTGGGACTTTTTTCCCCTGAAAACATGAAGTAAGATGAAGCACGTCTTGCAGTGATAAACTGTGCTCACCACAGCGCAGCACATTTTACTACCTCCCTAGCCAGCCTACTTAAGAGTTTTAAGATCATCACAAAGGGTTGCAATGGAATGTCTTAAGATACTGCTGCCATTCATAAAAATAGAAACAGGTTCCCTAAGCACTCACTGCCAACAGGAAGCATAAAACTAAAGTATGTTTGTGCTTGTAGATAGTAATCAATATAATTATAATTGGTTCTTCAAAATGAAGGACAAGGGAAAAATGAGAAAAATGAAAAGACAAGAAGTATCTTCTGACAAAGAGACATTTTTATTAGTCTTGCAGATTTCTATATGAATTTGAGTGCCTCCACAGTGATACCTAAAACCAAAACACATCTACTCACCAGAGATGTCCATAAACGCTCGATCCCAAAACTCATCCACTGTATAGCATTCTGCAGAAGTAATATTCACTGAGAGAACAATATCATCCTCCACATACTTTAATATTAGATTGTTGATCACAATATTGACATTGTTTACAACACGCCTGATCAAACTCTGAACATAACCTATAAAATGAAGCAAATTCTTTGGAGTCATAAGGAACACATGATGCCAAATTCATTTATTACTAAAGTCATTATTTCCAACTTGTATTATTTTTTAAAAATCAAAATTAAAACAAACTAACACTAGCCTTTATTTATCCAAAAATCACAGGACTTAAAACTCTTTAACATTCAGTGCAGTTAAGTCAATCAGAATCCTGGAAATGTAATAAACTATAGGAAAGAAGTGTAACTACTAGGAATATAATCTAGAATAAAAACTTAATTTTTGGTGGCAAGAATCAACTTTCAAACTTATAAGAAAAATAGAAAACTCTGTATTGTTGTAAACAAAGAATTTTAATGACAGTAACTTTTTTACTTGAAAGACATTTAGACATAGGTTTGGAAAAGAAAACAGCAGTTGCTGGTTTGCTTTTCAAGTATGCATGCACTACACCTATTTGCCCCCTCACCTACTTTCTTAAAAGTTAACTAAACATTAATATGCCTAGTACTTTTTTCATTCTAAAAGCTAATATATCCACATCATGCTCAGTAAGACCCCTGTGAGGCATAACAAAATCACTTTCTGTCAACAACCCAAACAGTAAGCACCTGCACTGAATCCTGTTGGGAAGAAATCTATTTACATTTTTACAGACATAATGTGATTGGAAAAATGATCTCGTCTGTGAATTCCCAGTATGCAGTAAACACTCATATTTTACCAGTATGGTAAAGAAATCAAATATTACCCATATGCATGATTTTTATGTATATTGAATGTAACTATGGAGCTAACTCATTTCTGCTGGAGCAAAAAACAAAAAAAAAACCCTAAAAATTTCTATCTTTTAAAATTTATAACATTACTCACATTCTATCTAAAAATACATTCAATACATGCTATAGAGATCTAGTTTGGTAACTATACTGAAAAAAAACCCCGTTAATGATACAGTTTTAAATTCACAGGCTTTAATTGTCTAAGACTACACCTTTTGGGGAACCCATAGATAGTACTGACAGAAACAAACTTGAAACAAAACTCAAGAACTGTCACTGAAGGCCATATAATCATCCAGGTCTTTGGCAATTCTTCGATTCACAGGTGAGACCCAAAGAACCAAGCACCAAGGAACTGCCAGAGTTGAAGTGCTGTCCATGGTAGCAAACCCTGGATTCCAAGACCTCTGCAATTCCAGGCCACCAGAGATTATTGGATCCAAGAGCTTTAAGAGAGCCTCCATATGTGGCTCCTCACGTCCCCATTCCAAAGCAAGATGGTTCTCTGTGGTACATAATATTCCGCACGCTAAATTTCAATATTATCTCTTTATTCAAGGCAAAGTATAAACTTTCTGTTAACAATTGTGTTCAAGGGCAGGTCAGACAGGGCTTTGAGCAACCGGTCCAGTGCAAGGTGTCCCTGCCAATGGCAGGCGGGGGGGAAAACGTCCCTTCCAACCCAAACCATTCTATAATCCTACGAAAAGAAAAAAAAAAAAAAAAAAAAAAAAAAGTCTAGCACAAAAAACTGTCATCCATCTAAAATACATTCCCCAAGAAAGCAAATTGTAATTCATTCCAGTACTCTCCAATGTCATTCTTCTGCACAAAACACCACATACAGCAAATTTTTGTGCAAACTCAGAGACAATAGTAATCAAACATATAGTTCCTCGGAGATATTCACATGATACAAAAATGCCGAAGTTCAACTGAGCTGAAATCCACATCAGGGTGAGAGCTGGGGGCGGGAGGGGGTGAGAGGAGGATGGTGTTGAACACTTCTGCCAGTACATACAGGAGTTGGTAAGAAACAGCTCTAAGAATGATTACTTTCAGAAAGAGATAAACCTTACCTTTAAAACTATTATAAGAATAGCTTTGAAAACAAAATGTCTGAAAACATACAAGGAAAGAATTTAATGTGAACCACTGAGCAGTTAATGAGTAGCAGAAAACAGAGTGATCTCAAACAGAAGTATCAGAGCAGCAGAGGTTAAAATCTAATACATTACCCCTATAATATATTTTCACACTAATCTACCCTGAACTATAAATTAGTTCCACAAATTTATTCTAACAAAATGGAAGGAAAGATACAAGGATTGACCACATTTTATTGCCATTTGGTTCTATTTGATAATATTCAAGGATTTCACTCAACTTTACATGATTTGTAGGTCAATAAAGTTATCATAGTCTAACTGTGGCCAACTGAATGAAATTTAAGCATTTTCTATCATTCAAATACAATCCAGCTTCTGAAATTATGGATTACCTGGAGGTAAATCAGGGTCAGGAGAAGCCGACTGCTGAACTCGTCGTGGTTTTACTGCTGATTTCATGCTTTCCGTGGTGCTGCGGTTTGTTGAACTGGAACCACAACTTTCATGGTCTTCCTGCTAGAGGACAAGAAAGCGGCTGAGTCAATAAAAAAAAAAAGAAAAATATGGAGAGAACAACATGGTGAAGTTGTGCTAAACTAAACTTCTGTTATAGATTTTCCATCAATTCAATCCTACTCATGCACCTAACTGCACACATTCTTACAAATCTATCTAGACAATATTAAAAACTTATTTGTAATTAATAATTTCACTTTTCTTTTAAAAAAATGCACTTATTAATTTCAATTGAACACATCTCCTCTAGCTGCATTTCTGCTGAAACATTCCTTCAGAGAAAGAGCTCTGCAGACTACCAAAACAAATACAAGAAACTACTGAAGTTTATGAGCTTACACGCCTACAGGTGAAACCACCTCACATGGTTCCAAGACGTCAGTCATGTCCTTCCTAAAACAGCTAATTGAAGCTGATTCACAAAGCAAAATATTTTTGCAGACTTTTAGAACAGCCCCAGAAAAGATAAATGAATTGAGGGCACCTGCTCATCTTGAGTTTATATATAGCTTATTCACCTTAAGGAATTCAGGAGCAGGAAACATGGCTCAATTAGAGTATATGATATAAACCTTACAAGATACAATTCACAGACGCAAGAAAATCTTAATTAGCTGAATTTAGGGTTTTAAACACCCCACTAGTATTCCCAATACATTCCAGAATGACAGTTTAACTACAAGACTCAAGTGCAAGAGAGCCAAGAAATGTAATACAAATATTCTTGTATTAGAAAAGCAGGTTAGAAAAGAAGCGAATTACAACTTTTGGCCCAAGCCAAATTATTTCTTCCATTGATGTAGTCTCTTGCAGAACAGGAACAAAATGATCTCTGGGTCAAAGCACTACTAGGATCACACCATGTGTTCACAAAAGAAGGGTTAGGGAAGCAAATGTCAAGTACTGGAGTTTGAAACTGTAATATTCTTAAGTACTCTAATCACCAAAAAGCAGACAGCTTAAACTGTGCTGAGTTTTTGTACAGGATAGATCATGTGTTTCCCTGCATGCTGCCTGGCTTTTTTAATACTTCTCATATTTCTCTCAGAGAAATCGCAAAATGGGATCCTCACATTACTTGCTTAATAGTGTTTTTTGCATGAAAAAATAAAAGAAGAAAAAAAAAGTTGTTACATCTAATAATGCATTTTAAAGAAAAGTCTGCAACTTTGAAAACTATTGAAGAGACAGTTTCTTTCCTTCCATACTGTATTCAAAAAACCAGAATACAGAGGGTAATTCTCTGAGAAAGTTGAAACACCATTTCACTAAGAAAAAAAGATGAGTGATATAATCTTAGTGGGGGGCAAGGGGGGAAAGGGAGGGAGCACGGAATAAAGCTGAATTTATTTGAAGAAATCACACAAGACAGAAAATAGACCTTAGATAGCTTCTAAAACAAGGCTGAGTTACCATTTCAGGCACTGGAACAAGCTTCCCAGGGGAGTGGTGGAATCACTGTCCCTGGAAGTGTTCAAGAACCGTGATGAGGCCTTTATTGACATGGTTTAGCAGTAGACTTGGCAGTCCTGGAATAATGGTTGGACTTTATGACCTTAAAGGTCTTTTCCAACCTAGTTGATTCTATAATTCTATGTGTGTTTTGTAATTAGAAACGCTCACCTCCCCTTCATGTCTCCAGCTTACTGAGAAAACTTAGATCATAGACTTTTAAGCTAAGGTTTTTGAAATATCTTTTAACTCTATCTTCTTTCTTGGAAACCAGTTCATATGTAGCATGAAAATATTTTTTCAGATGAGTCACCATGCTGCTATTTATGTTTTGAACTTGCAAAATACCCTCAAGATGTCAGAGTGACCAAACAGCTCAATTAGCACATTTCCTCCTCTGCTGAGCACACTTACGGATTGCACAGAACGCTGTGGTGCGACTATTTAGTGATTTGATCTGATAGGATCACATTACGCTTGCCTTTTAATATTTATTGAGAAGAGGGGGGGGGGGGCAAGAGAATGGGGAAGGCAGCCTATTTTTGAAGTTAACTGTATCAAGCCAACTATATTCAAGAGTAAATTTTCTACCTTAGCACTGACACGACCACATTCAATGAATCTTCTCATAACTTTATACAAAATCTATGTGATATTTTAATCATAGAGAGTATTACTAACACTTGCAGATGAAAGAAGGGTGGGGGGGGGGGGGCAAGAGAATGGGGAAGGCAGCCTATTTTTGAAGTTAACTGTATCAAGCCAACTATATTCAAGAGTAAATTTTCTACCTTAGCACTGACACGACCACATTCAATGAATCTTCTCATAACTTTATACAAAATCTATGTGATATTTTAATCATAGAGAGTATTACTAACACTTGCAGATGAAAGAAGGGTGGCTTAAGCTTTTACCACTTTCAGAGAGTTAGGAATACATACTAGCACACTGGGTTTTGAGGAGGTTTGTTTTAAAGGAAAGGGGCAGAGAACCCTTAGGTTATGTTAATTTTGAAGGTCTCAGATCTTAACCTATAAATAAATTCTATACAATAAGCTTTTATAGGTCCCTGAGCTATAAGCCTGTTACAACGGAAAATGGCTGCAACCCTTTAGAGCAAGATGGATCTAAAAGTAACCAAAACGAAAATATACATGTTCCAAGATGGTGCCATAATAAAACACAAAAGTTTATCTCAGAAATTAATCCACATCAAGTACCAGAGCATACCTACATTTAAGAAGAATCAAACCTGACCAAAAATTTGAAATAAGTTTTTTAATCTGGGATAACATCCATTTATCTCTTTACGTTACACAATTATCAGAAAGGTTTTAGAGCTGCATAGGGTTTTTTTTGCTCATGAACACACACCAGTTTCCACACAGCTACTAATACTTTATAAAACAAATGTTGTACTATTAATGGAAGACGATAACAGTGGCCATGACCTTACAGGAACTACATTCCTACGTAGATGTATATCCAAAAACTTTCTGTACCTGCACGCTCCTGCTCAATGTTAACTTTAAGAGCACACTATTAATTTCTCAAACATGTGGCTGTCTCATAAGCCCAGAAGTAAAACACGTTCATTAAAGAGATGGGAAAAAGTTCCAAGCAAACTGCCAAAACTAGCATAATTATGAAACTATTTAACACTGGAACCAACTAGAGTCACACACTGTGTCTAGATCACAGTGATGTCATCAGAAACACCCAGCCAAAAGGCACTAAAACTACTGCGCTCCCATAAATCCACCTCACACCAGATGACAAACATTTGAAAGTTAAAGTCAAAATTATAGTGGGGGTGGGAAGAGAGTTACATTCTAAAAGTGCTAATAACTATAGTTATAGTATGAGATTTGATAAATGCCTGTTCATTTTAGCAGTAATGAGTGGCTCCAAAAAAGTCACAACAACAGAAAACTAAAAATACTCATGATGTATCCAGAGAGATGGTTTTTAAGAAAATGCCAGTCATTTACAAAAATATGATACAATCTAGCGGGAAAAGGTAAGTAAAGCCCAGAAAATTTAAAAAAAATGAACATGAGGTCCTGCCTATGTTATACAAATATACCTTGGATCATTACAAATAGAAGTTTGCACAGTCCAGCTCCTTTTTCCCTTTTGGCAAAAGCACCAGACCAGGTACTCAGATTAAATGTTTTTATAGAGCACTATGGTTACTTCGAAAACTATCCAAGTCATAAGTAACATGCTAAAGACACCTACGCCAGTAAACTCACATGCAAGTTCCTCAAACAATTTTCTACTGCAATATAAAGCAGTTATTGCCAGGTTTAAAGCAAATTACAACTGACAACACCTGAACACATAATAGATGAGAGTGGAGCTTAATATCTTTGTTTGTTATTCTATTTTCCAAATACATACTACTTTTTTTCTTTAAAAAGACACTTTCTCATTTTAAAATACATAAAATGTGCAAGGCCTCCAAAACACATCTTACACATGCTTTATGGGAAAATACTGTTTTCTCTTGGGGATCACTTAGCTATTTATGCAAATACTGTCATGCTTTCATCAAGTCAAGTTAAAGAAAACAAAGTTCTTGGAGGAAAAAAAAAATAAACCAAATACATGCACACAGAGGAAGATGCGTTAAAACAATTACCATTATGAATAAAAATTTCAAACCCTGAACTGATCCCAAGTACCTCAAGTACCTACTGCACAAACTTGCAGAGAGTTCTCCATCACCATTTACTCTCTTCCTCTACAAAGTTCTGCTTTTTCTCATCCTTTTCCTTTCTAATGAGCTTAGTATCTTTTACAAGTAAGAGATATCTATCTCTATTTCAAGCATATCTTAAACTGCAAGATGCAAAAATTGCAAGAGAGGAACCCATCTCCCATTAGTGGACCGTATTTACATGGCTGAATAGTTAGCTGCCTGTGGAAAGACTTGAAGTAATATTCAGAATATGTTCATTCTAGCAAGACCTTTGATACAGTCTCCTGCACAGACCTTATTCCTAAACGGGTGAGGAGACTCACCAGCAGACAAGTTGGGTGAAAAAGGGGCTGAACTACTGGGTTCAAAGGGTTGCAATCAGTGGTACAAAGTTGAACCAGTGACTGGTTCCTTGTGGCATCCTTCAGGGATCAGAACCAAGCCCATGGTGTTTAACATCCTTATTAAAGACCTGGAATGTGGGATAGAGTGCAGCCTCAGCGAGGCTGTGGATGCAAGCAACTTAAGGGGAGAATCAGATGCACTGGTGGGCACGGCTGCTGTTGATAGGGTCCTTGAAAGGCTGAAGCAATGGCCTGTCAGAAACTCCATGAAGTCCAGATGCTAACACTAGATCCTGCACCTGGGATGGAGATACTCTATGTAACTCTAAAGACAAAGAGACAAATTGCTAGAAGGCAGCTGTGCAGAAATGAATCCAAGGGTCCCAGTGGACAGCAATTTGAACGTGAGCCAGCAGTTTGCCCTTGCTGTAAAGGTGGCCAACTATGTGCTGGGCTGTATGATTAGCAAGGGTGAAGGCAGGGGCATGATTCTT